ACCAACAGCTGGTTGTGACGACTATTCTACTAATTCTCGTGTGGTAAACTGCTCAGCTAGAAGGAGCGCGGTATTATCTGTTGAATTATCGATACCGGTATTATTTTTTAAAAAAAAATCAAAGTATATTGAGATGGGGAATATTCCGAAACTAACACTGAAAACAGTTACGGACTCTATGGACATACCTACCAGCCGTTCCGGGCTCAGAGGTCGAAAGTTCCGGGTGCTGAAGCTGTAACTTCGACTTCTCCAGGTTCGGTGCCCGAAACAACAGGGCTGAACATGGAACTTTTGGCCCTCTAGCCCAGAGAGAACGGTATGCTCATAGAGCTCGTAAGCATGACTTCCATGGTTAGAGTCTTTTTTTTTTTCAATGTATCAAAAATGTCAGCAAGTTAAAATTAACGAGGCACACAGATGATTCATTTTACCATAAATGCGGGGCAACATTGAGGTGTTGTACATACATGAGAAAACAACCTCTTCTCCTCGTTTTTCATACATTTGTACTTCAATTTTGTCATAAGACTGTTCTTCCGATCGCGTTAAGGAAGAGTAGATCAGTGCGGTACTAATCACCGAATCGTAATCTGATGATTTCAAATTTCAGATCGGATAAAATAATAAGATCTGACGAGATGACATAGTTACATTTCAAGATTATTAATTTTTTAGCATCATACTGGTTCTCTTCACCTCTTGTCGCATGGAGTAAGATTAAAGAACAAAACGGCATACATGGTAAAATCCTATTCTCCCCCATTACTGGGCTCTTTCTTTCCAAGACAGGCTAATATACTATCCTCAATCTTTATTCTCTTTTTATTTTTTTACGTTCACAAGAAGACCCCACTGTAACTTCCCGTACTGTCTCTGCAAAGTTCTTGTCATAACAATACATGCTCGACACCGTATGAATGTGCGCAAGTGTCAAACGCTCTTCGTGCAGCATCTCTATTCATTAGTGCACCAACCGTCGATGACGCAATATGCACTTTTCTCGGCCACGTTCTAGAAGTGAACGATCTTTTCCCCTTGAGTCGATGCTTGGAGAGTTCGTCTAAGTTTACGTCACAGAGCTGTATCGCTGTAGGCATGCTTTAAGATCTCATTCGTTCGTGTCATTAGTGAGTGGAAAATTTAGAGCAGACAAGTGTCGACATGTGGGCGACCGAGTAGCACGCTAAATTTTCCGAAAAGAGAGGAAATTAAATATTAACAAAGTTGCAGTAGGTTGGATTGTACATACACCTATCCTCAATGGTGGTTGTATCCTATATATAAAGGTCGCTTTACAGCACTTCCTCGCGCTCTACGACTCCTCTCTATTATCCTGTATCCTGTACTCCTGTATCCTCTCTATTCTAATAAAATCATTTTTAAGACGCTCGATGGACGAGAAAGACGGCTCAAAGACCGAATTCCAAAGAAGGAGTCAAAATTCAGAGTAAGGAGAAAGTCTTGAAGAAGATTGTTTGGCGGAAAATTTTTCTTTGACACATCGTTTTTTTATTCAATTAAAATGATTCGCTCATTAACCGCCAATGGGCGATTTCGACGATTAGACGATTTCGCTAGTCACGAAGAGGACTTTGGGGGCGCGCAGCCCCCGGGGGTTGGGCAGCGTAGCGGTCAGAGGGCGGACCCCCTAGTGACTTCATAAAGCTTTAAAATGAGGTTTATCCAAAATTATAGTAATTAGTGACACAAAATTACAGGAAAACTACGATGTTGTGCAGATACCTAGGCGTGCCTCTATTTTGAGACGAAGGTATCCTTAAAATTAGGTAGGACCTTTACTGAGGTATACTTTGTCATTGCCATAATACTCAACTCCTGGTTTATACATTAATTAATGAACCATATGTCCTATCCATTCTTGCTAAACGTAAAAGACATATAAACAAATCCTCTTGTGGCGTCTAGTTAGAAATATTTTTCACGCTAATGGCTACCTGTCAAAGAGAGGTAGACGTTTTGATACGGGAATTTCCCACAGAAATCCCAGTTGCCTCCCACCTGCCTGCTTTCACGCCTTAAAAACAATTTTTCAAATATTTCCGAACTATGGGCAAGTTGTAGGTCAGATATTCAGAGGGCGATATTTTGAGTCAGGAGGCTTTGAATTCAATAGTTTAAAAACTATGACAGAATTACTTTTTTGGTAACACTTCGGTAATGCTCTCCTCTTTTATTTTAGTCTATAGTCAAAGTAAAATCATAATTTCTGATAAGTCGATTTATTATTTACTTCATCGTGCCACTGGAATGCAAGATTAAAATAACATACCTAGCGTGCAGCAGTCATGCCGATTTGCATAATTTACTCGCTAAAAAGCAAATTCTGGTCTTTTTTATCCACGGTTTTTGTCCTTACCTACAACTGCCACTCCCTGTACTGCCATACTAAAACAAGCACGCCCCATGAGAATTTGAAAGTTGCCAAATTTCCCTGCGTCAAAATATTCCTCATTCAAGAGAACCGATTAATAATTATTATTTCAGATATATTATATGGAACTACGATTATGATTCTCTTATACTGCAGCAAAATATTCAAAAGCGCTTCATGTTTAAAATTTGTTTTCAAAACAAATTTTACAAATTCAAAGACTGACATAGCGCAGCACTGAAATATTTTCATTTAACTGCAAATTTTAAGCTCATTGTAAATTCCCGTGAAATGTGAGGTTAACCGTAGGTATACTCATTTTCAGAGTTTAAGTGTAAAAACATATAGAACCTCAGGTCTGAATTCTATATTGAGAATTAATAATGTTGATTCACTGTGAATTGGTCATTAAAAGGTCATTAAGCATTCAATGGCTCATCAAATTGGAGTAATTCCGATTGGAGGAATAATTGGATGCATTTAAATCATTTCACTGCATTTAAAGTGAATACAAAGGCGAGGATATAAATGTTCTTATCTACACCGGAGCCATCGAGAAACGATGCGGAATCAATGATTTGGCCCCTAAAAAATCAATCAATATATGACAAGGCGCAAAAGTCGGTGCTTTTCTCAAAAACTAGCTCTAAGCTTTGATGTCATGGGAACATATTTTTAACATATTTTATTGTTTTTCAATGGACAACCATTGAAAAAGCTTTGTATTGGCAATCAAGCAGAAAACTGAAGAGAAAATTCCGGAGTACCAAATTTTGACGACGCAATTTCAAAATCTTTTCGATGTCTGTTATTTTTTAAGTATTTATTTTTTCAGAAAAAAAAGAAAATTAGTGAGATTTTGAACTATATGCTGGGCATTTCATATAAAGCAACACGGTCATCCATTATTTCCTATTGTTTTTGTTTTATTTCTCAACCAAAAGAAAAAATATTTCCAACCATTGATCATGACACTTCTCAGAAAACGCTCGGTGTACGGTACGGGATTCCGCCTTCTGAATGGCTGATTCACGCATTTAATGACTTTATGTTGGCAAATTCATTGCAGCCGACTGCGCATTTTAGAACAGTTATTTGAAGCATGCTCATAGTTGATAATGTAAGTCGGCATTTTTCCGCTTAAAAGTTGGATAAGTTGTACTCAAGAGAAATTCCAGGAACATTGTATCCTAATCGGCTTACGGACCCGACTGGTGGAAATGAACAGACCTAATAAAGGCGTGGGTTTCCTCCTGATCTTCACTGTTTCCAAAACCTATTGAATTTATAAAACATGAGTCTATGTTTGAAAATATTTATGAATTATATTTGAGAAAAATATCGAGCCGAGAAAAAGTATGAGCGAACAAAACTAGCTATAAAATGTATTTATCTCCCATTAACAAATAAATAAACATCGACTAATTACCTGATATCGATAGACTCAAGTTCAAATCTACCGGATATCTCTAGACTATGACTATAATGGACGTTGCTTGCGATCCCTTCGAGCTATTTGACAACGTCTCTGAATAAGTTTACGTTAAACGAACCCGATTCGATGCTTGCATTTTGATCAAACATTCCTTCCATGTAGTACAAATTTAAGAGCAATACAGAAATTTTCGTCCAATATTATATACTTCGAAAACACGTGACGGTCCATAGGAAAAAGGACGTTGGTCCACAAAAGCTCATAACTAAATTACTTATCGATGTCATGTCATAGAAAAGTACTATGAACCATTTGTAAGTTATAGAATACTCAAATGTGCAACCAAATTGGAGTTATGGTGGTAAGTTTGCAGTTCAAGGAACGTCATATAGAGAAAAGTCACCTCAATTTCTTTGATATGAGCATGGTGCGGAAAAGCCGGGCTAGAGTGCATTTCAATGCATAATATTGGGACAAAAATATCACTCTTGTAATTGAAATTTTCTCTCCCATTTCATTATATTCATTTCATTGACAGAAATATGATATTTACACTTATATTCTTTGACTTATTCGAATTTAAAATGTCATACTTGTGGAAGCTCTTTTCTTAATACCAGGATAGAACTGTTATATTTTTAGGTACATTGTTATTATCTCATAGTCTATTGTGAGCTCATGTAACTAACTTTTTATAGTACTAAAGAGTATTCTGTCGAAATCTCAAAATCCGATCGACCAAAATCGCATTACTTAAAATGTTGTTTCCGTATACCAAAATCCTTTCCCTGCGGATGGTAAAGTTTGAAAATTTCAAAAAAAAATTTATGCAAAAATCAAGTAACGACCGGACCATCTTTGGAAAAATAGTATAGACTGAGCCTTTCCGTACACCGAAAAAAAAAGTTACCGAAGTAACATGCCGGATGTTAAAAATCTGTGCGCCAACTCTTGGATGTTGTTATGAATATACTGGCTGTTAAAACAACATCCTAGCTACGTTGAATTAACAACCGTGGCGTTCATATCAACATTCAAGAGTCGTCGCGCAGATTTTTAACATCCGACATGTTACTTCAGTAACTTTTTTTTTCGGTGTAGCATTCATGGAAACACGACGTCACGCGCGAAGAAAAAGCGGGGATGCATTGATAGTGAAAGGGTACTCACATCTCCTGTGCATAGGTAACGCAAACTGGAAGCGCCTGGCGTTAGCTCGGAGGAGATGGGTGTTGCCACCGCGCGGTATCACTTGGCGTCCTGTATCACTGCAGACTGGGGACTACTCGCCACTTAGGCAATACCCGCTCAGCGCTACCGGTGTATCTCCTGGTAGGGGACGCCGCTGTGATTAGTCTCCCCCCACACCTGAACCCCCCCCCCTTCCTGCCCCGCCAGCGACGCGGTGAGAAGTGCAAGTGCACCGACGCGACGCGACGCCACGATGGTGAGGATTTTCGGTGCACGGAGAGATGCGCTTTCGGTGGAACCCGAGAACTTTCTCGGGAAAATCGAAATGCCCTTGGATGGAACTACACTGCCGGACGAGGAAACGTATCTCTATTCCAAGGTTACAAAATTGACTCGAACAATCCAATTATTTTCACGAATGTACGTGTGTAATTTTTGTCCAAAAATTTCCTGATTTTTGCATAAGATCTGAAGCAAAATCAGTCCAATTTTGAGTTCGAAATTCCCGAAATCCTTCTGGCGAAACAGCGATTTGCGAAGGGAATTTTGGCAACATAGGAATGTAGTTACGTTCTTTTATGGGGGAGACGACGTATTGACCCCCCTCTGAACTGCCGTGCTGAAGGGAAACGCCGTATGAACCTTCAGGCGTTGCCAAATATCCTTTGATAAAACACGAATCTCCTAGTAAACATAAGAATATTTTTCTTCCAATTTGTTTTGTAATTTTGTTCGCAACTACACCTAAAGTTCCTGAAAATTCCAAGGAAAAATATTCATAACCTGCCTAAAAAATTAACATTTTATTTAAGGAAATTTGGCAACTCTCGAATGTTCATACGGCAGTACAGAGGGGGATCAATACGTCGTCTCCCCCACAAAATAACGTAACTACATTCCAATGTTGCCAAGTTTCCCTTCGCAAATCGCTGTTTAGCCAGAAGTATTTAGAAGTATTCGAACTCAACATTTGACTGATTTTTCTTCAGATCTTACGCAAAATTCAGAACTTTTTTAGACAAAAATTGCATCGGTGCATTCGTAAAAATAATTGGCTTGTTCGAGTCAATTTTGTAACCTTGGAATAGAGATACGTTTCTTCATCCGGGAAGCGATGAATATAGTGTGAAAATAAGAAAAAGACTGAGAAACGTGGCCTGAGATGTGCTTAACGAGGTGGTAAAATAGTACTGGGTCCGCATTATTTTGCGGAGAAAACAAGCCCAAAAATCTCAAAAACTTCAAGCAGAGTCAAACATGTTGAGTCCTAATGAGTATCAGTAAGACTAAGGGGGGACAGTGCTCAGTTCAGACAGATGCATTGGAATATACTGACAAGTGTGATGTACTCATGAGGTCGAAAAAGACCCATAAACGTTATATGTAGATCTCTTGGCGTGCGACCTCAGCTTAATATTCCAAGTCTTGTCCAAGTCGTTCCCATTCTCGCTCTGATACTCATGAGAGCACAAAAAGTTTTACTCTAATTGGAATTTTTGAACTTATTGCCCTTATTTCCCCTGAAAAATAGTAAGGGTCCAGCACTATTTTACTCTTGTTACTTATGGAATCGCAATTGTTTCTCCCTTTTTTTGTCGTCTGCACAACAATTTGCCTTTCAAGACAAAATTAAAAATTGAAAAAGTAATGAGATAATAATGTAAATGACCAAGGAGGAAAAATGCGATTCTCTGGGGTTTGCTCTGGGCATAGAAAAATTAATTATTTGTAATGATTGCTTGAGACTCTTACAGATGAAATAAGATCTGGTTTGAAAATCAGCAATTTTCTCCTTATGTGTAAAGACAATAATGGAGGCCTAAACTCATCTTCGAATTACTTTAACCGTGTCAGAGAGCATTAAGATCACGTGTGTAGTAATTACGGCTTCAGGAGCTCGTCTCATTAGCACTTGTAATAGTATGAACGAGACTCATTGACTGATTGTGAGCCATATTTCCAGCGTTGAATCTTCCAAGTTGCTAATACTGAACTTCTTTAAATTAGATAGGTCCTATATTGTCATTTCAGGAAGAACGTCGTACGAGCCTTCAGACGTTGTCATTATTTCACCAATGAAATAACCAATTTACTGCGAAAATTGAGAATATTTTTTTTTTTCAAAATTTTCGGACTATTTTATGTGCGCTTTAATCTAAAATATCTGAAAATGTCAAAGAAGAATAGGCATAACTTTTCTTGAAAATGCATTACTTGTACGGGGAAATTTGGCAACTCTCGAATGTTCATACGGCGTGTTTCCTAAGCTCGGCGGCATAACAAGCAATAGTTCGTAAGGAAGGCGGCTTTAGCTGCGAAGATCATGTAAAAATTAAACTAAAATGTAGAGGGTGTGCAATGGTTTCAAACAATAATAATTCGTGGTATTACTCTGCGAGTCATTATATGACTTTTTCGGAGGTAAACGTTTTTTCCAAAAACTTTTGCCCTCAGAGCTAGGGTCTCTCCAAAGTTTTAAAAAATCGTCTGATTTATTTTTACATCTGCTCACAATTTTGCGTTTTCTTTCGATCAGATGGAGTTGATACCGCGCATACCTATGTTCTTGAGTGATTTTCAATTTTTAATTTATTTTTCTTCCAAAAATCCTCCTTTCGAAGCTGCGGCCCTACAAATTTCTAAAAAATCATATACTTGTGCCTGCCAAATTACAAAAATTGGCCAATTCAATGGATCGCGCTACTTCAGAGTTGAAGTTCAAAGTTGCTTTAATGGACTCGAAACATCCTTACATCCTTGTTAGTTTAGTGCAGTTTTGTGATAAAAATCACAAATTATGCAGAAATCAACTTATGGACTTGGTTTTTTTTTTTTTTTTTTTTTTTTTTTTTTTTTTTTTTTTTGCGGCCAGAATGTCTAATTTGGCATTTTTTCAAATGCTTATCCAGATTCCTCTCACGTAGAATTCTGAGTTTTTTTCTGTAATGCATAATTGTAGTTGGTATGGAGTACCAGTTTTATCCTTTTTCTCGCACATTCTCAATTTGGTTGATTGACATTTTTAGTCCTAGGAACCGACCTTCAGTTCACACAACCAAAATCTTTCGTAAAACTGCGAGTCTTGGTATGACTGATAAAAACCTCCTCGCCCCGGTAAAAATTGGTAGCAGAATCTGTGTTCCAACAAACCATAGACCTACACCCGGCTGTAAGATTTCCAATAGATTCTATAGCCGGAAACACAATTTCCTATAGCCTTTTATAGCCGATGGCGATAAAGCAACTCACAGCCAGGCGATAAAGCGTATGCTAAACGTTACTAAATACGGATGCAAGGACTTAGTGGGTTTTTGGACTACCGCTCTCTTTTTGGGCCTTAGTGTTTTGATTTATTTTGCGAGGAAAGCTCCGTACTTTTGAAGGATGCCTGCCATTCCTAATATGTTGGAGCTCCTTCAATTTCGTATGATACTGTGCAATACCTCTGGTGTGAAATAGTTGCTTCAAGAGCCGTGGTGCGGCGCGGCGGGCGGGCAGAGAGTGCAAAACGCGCACTGGCGCCAACAAACCTAACAGGGATACTTCACGCATTGCGCAATGCTTGAAGTATCCCTGTTAGGTTTGTAGGCGCCAGTGCGTCGCCGCTCCGCTTTGTGTTAGGCTCTGATATTTAATCTCGTGGAGTCAGCCGTCTTCAACTCATGACTTTGAAATATTTGCACACTCTGTATGGATTATTCTCATTTTAATTGATGAAAAAAACTATGTAGTAAAGGATATTATGATGTGTGTTCTGTAAATATTAAGGTGATTCCGTACAAACTTAAGGATTTACAAAGCACACGAATTTCTACACAATTTCTTATAGCCTTTTATAGCCGATGGCGAAAAAGCAACAGCCAGGCGATAAAGTGTAAAGCCCGGCGATAGGAACTATAGCCCGGCTGTATAATTTTTTATCGCTTCGTGTGGCCCGGCCGTATGATTTTTTCCACTTCCTACAGCCAGCTATATGATTTTATATTGCCTTCTTCTGTCGGCTGTAAGAATGCCTATGGTATTTTGAAACGCAGCTCCTATCGCCAATTTTTACCAGGGCGGTTACATACCTGAACTGAAATATTTGAAAACATTTTTTTTATTTTTTGGATTGAAAACTTCATGTCAAACAACAAGGCAGACAATGGACCACTAGACAAGGTGCAAATTTCAGCATTCTGATACATGTTTCTTGACCAAAATTTCACGTAAAAAACGATGCGCACAACGACAATTACCGAAATCAACTCCTTACAAAGCTATTCAATGATTCTTGATGCGTGAATTCAAACCACCCGCTCATGAAGACTCAACGCTCTACGTGCTTCACATCGAGCGCTAAACGTTATCATGACAGTCTCTGCGATATAAAAATCTAGCAACCTTAATCTTGACGCTTTGGCTCACCTATAGCAAATTGCTCATAGTTTGAACAACACACGGTGGGAGATGTATATTGCTCGATTGAGAGGCTTGCTGAAACCGTTGTAGTGCGCAATTTGACTCACGTAGAGCTTTGAGTTTCTTGTGAGCGGGCAGTTCAAATTCCCCGTAAACAATGCGAAATGAAAACGTTAGTATATTCGTTAGGAGTTGGTTTTAGTAAGTTTCGTTGCGCGAATCGTGTTCTACGTGAAATTCTTGTTAAGAAACATGTACCAGATTATTTAAATTCGTACCTTGTCTAGTGGTCCATTACCTCGATTAGAATTATGAATGTTTTTTTCTCCAATACATGATCGTAATTGGGAGGGGGCCAGTTTTGATATTTTTCCCACGAGGAGGAAAAACTTCGGATACAATGAAGCACGGAAGTTTTTGATCCAGGTAATTAAAGATTTTATTCTAGGGGCCGAACAGTCATGAAACCGTAAACCGAGATCTCTCGTAAAAAAACGAGCCTTAGGATAGCTGACAAAAATTTGGGTTAACTGTACCTGAATTAAATTTTGGTTCCCATAACCAGAGGAAAAACTTTGGTTACAGCACAGAGCACTAACGTTTTTAATTCAGGTAATTGAAGTTTTCAATCTAGGAAACAGTTAGACAACTGTAAACCGATCTCTTTCGTAAAAGACGAGTTTTTGGGAAGGTTCAAAAAAGTTTGGCTAACCT